CTAGATTTTTTATTTATAGAAACTATAGCTAAAGCTAGAAGATAATAATAAATATATGACCTTACTGTTATTTTTTTCCTTTATGTAGGCAGTGCTCAGAATGTGACCAGGCAGGGAGCAGTGACATGGAAGCAGACATGGCTATGGAAACCTTACCAGATGGGACCAAACGATCAAGGAGACAGATTAAGGAACCAGTGAAATTTGTTCCACAGGATGTGCCACCAGAACCCAAAAAGATTCCAATAAGAAATACGGTAATTTATTTCTTATTTATCATAATCATAAAATTCTGAGTCCACAATTTAAGAGAGCAAGAAAGACAAAGGACAAACATATACTCAGGAGACATAAAAAGAAACATGTGTATTCCTATTGGTTATTATTAAGAATTTTTCTGTATTATGAAATATACCATACTTACCTAAGAGTTTATAGCTTGTATGTCCTGTTGAAGGCATAATAATGAATACACCAGCACATCGACTACCCAGCTTAAAAGATAGACCATTCCCAGAGCCTTTCAAGTCCCCCGTGAATCCTTCGGCAATCTCATCTTCATTCACGTAGCCCAGAGGCCAACCTCTTTCCTCAACTTTATATTTCTTGTTCTCTTCTTTTTCTTTGTGATTACATTCCAAATCTGTATATTCACAAATAATACATAGTTTAAGTTTTGCAGGTTTTGAATTCTATATCAATGGAGTCATACTTTTTTCTTCTGTTACTTGATATTTTGACCAACATTATATTGATTTGATTCATACATGTTGATCTATGTAGCTGTAGTTCATTTATTTTCACTGTTGTATAGTTTTCTATTGAAAAAATAGGTCATTATCTAGTTTTTCTTTCGTTTTGTTGATGGGTAGTTAGATTGTTTTCATGTTTTTATATGGCAAACAACTTTGTTTTAAATATTCTTGTAAATATCTCCTGCAGCATGATAACAAGGAGTTAGGGTATATAGTGAGATGTAGATTTGCTGAATTATAGACTGTCTGCATCTTCAGTTTTGCTGGATAATGACAGTTGTTTTCCAAACCAGTTTACACTCATACCAGCAATGGATAATGTTTCTTTCGCTTCACAAACTTGTTTTGTCCCGTTTTAATACTTTCCAGTGTGATGCATGGAAAATTGTATATTGTCATTTTACTTTGCATTTCTCCCTATAGTGATGATTTTAAGCATCTGTTAATATATTTTTGGTCAGTTGTATTTCTTCTTCTGTGAAATATGTATGCAAATCTTTCACCAATTTTTCTATTGGGTTGTTAGCCTTTTTCTCATTGAAAATTCTTTGAGGCCATGGTTTAAAGAATTTCTTCCAGAAATCATTTATGTTTGTTATTACCAGGTGCCTGGGTATCTCTATTAACCTGAGACTATTTTAAATAAAAGTTTGGTACGTGTGTTTTCCATTACATCACTAGTGTAAATTTCTGCTCCAAACTCGTAACAGCTGGCTTGCAGATATGAATTCCAGGGGAGACATTTTTCACTTTCCTGCCTTGAGCCAAGGCAGGCACTTTTAAAAAATCTATCTCTTTCCAAGGGAGATAGAAAGATATTTTTAGGGTAAGTTATCATTTGTTTTGTCACTTGTTTCATTTTAGATAGTCTTTACTTTTTAAAGTAACAATTTTCTCAAAATTTTTTCAAAAAAATGTATAGTAATCCCCTGTTTGGTAATCACTGAAAAGATCTTATTTATGAGTAATCACCTAGGTTTTTTCATTGAGTTTTGTGTGACAGACTTATGTGAAATTGATGAGGCAGATCTGGAAATTGTTATCTCTTAGATAATTAAAATAGTTTATTTTGAGTGCTCTAAATAGATTAACTTGAAATATTTTCATTTGTGATCCCTACCAGTTTAAAACTTTTTTTTTAGGCTTCAAAAATATGTTTTGTTTAAAAAGGAACTCGAGAGAATTTTCCTTTTTTAAATAAGCATGTTAGTTTCTATTTCTACAGTATTTTCTGTAACTGTTTAAGACTAATATCTATAGTTATTATTAAGATAGTTATCACTTTATATGTCTAAAAAGATTATCCTCTTATGAAACATTATCTTTCTAATTTCTTTAATTATTTAAAGAGATCCTTACTATCAGTATTATTATCTCTAGCTTTGGAATTATCATTGAGGGAAATTATAAATATTATAGTGCTATTTATGTGCCCATAGTTCAGTATTACTTAAGATGAAAGAGGACTCTTTAACAACTTAAAGGCTGCTTCTATTTTTTCTCTCCTTTACCTGTCTGCTTTTTCATCTTAGAATTATAAGGAAGCTTTAACATTTCTTATTTAATCCAATTCCTTTAATTTTGTTCTTTGGCTCTAGTTTTCTTGTTTAAAAGTTTAAGACACTGTAGGTATTGGTGGGTGAAACACCAAGAAAGGATTTCATGGCTAGTAATTTTATAAAGTATAGTATGATTGATCATTTTCTTACTTATGGGAATTCAAATGCATATTGAAGCTCCAAAAATTTTTACTATTTAGAAACATGATTACTTTTATTTATCCTTTTTCTTAACTTGTTTTATTGATGAGCATGTTTTTTGAAGACACATTTTTTATTGTAGCGTAGAGTACTATGTGGTACCACATTTGGAAATGGTGCTCTAGAGGCCATGGGTTACTTGCTTCAGGGTCATCTGGAGTGTTTGTTGGACCCATCCTAAAACTAATGAATTAGAATTTATGGGGCTGAGCTAAGCAAATTTCT